TCTGTTGTTTTCGCTTGCAGATTGCTGTTCACAGGCCTGCAATGCTTTTGGCCGCATTTGTGCGCAAAAACCGTGCCCAAAAGTGTAAGCGCGGAAAAATGAAAGTCTGAAGAATACAGATCTTATTTATTTTGTGGTAGCATGAAGCTGTAGTTTCACAATACATGAATTACACTTAAGAATAACAGTTAAATGCGGCAAATATTTTTTTTTTACACTTGAAGGCCGATTTACACCTTTACAAATCTTCTCTTGCGCATGCAAATTTATTTTACGCTTGCAATCTTGTGTACTCTTTCACAAATCTTACCCTTCGCATGTGATTCATTATGACATCATTTTACCTTCATACAAAGACATGCTCGAATCTCCCGCGGAAATCCACCAGTACCACTGGAATTAAAAACATTATTACAAGCTTACCGCTTTGAATCGAGCTAAGGCAAGCAGAGAGTTTTGAACACTGGCTGGTTGTGTATTTTCTCAAATATGTATTTTGGATAATTTTTAACCCAAAAAAAAGCTACGGACTATACGTATATTTATAGCTGAAAAACATTTATTTCATTAACTGATTTAATGTTAAAACACCATCCCACTAATGTCCTAATCTGCTTTATACAGGTGATAACCACCATAATAATACAGATGGTAAAACAGAAAACCACATGATGATGGAAGCTCACCACAATTAGCTTTCCATATCAAGCTGAGGTATATATTAATATAAAGAAGGTGCACAGTCATACACATAAATAGAAAACACTGTCATGTCATGGTGACACACATGACTCTAAAATAATGCAATAAACATTCATTAAAAAACATTAGATGTAACAAAGCCACTAAGAAGAAACATAATTATTTAAATGAAATAACTTCAAATGTGGAGCTTCATGCAGGGAATTCTGGGAATGTCAATTTAGAGGAACAACAAGAACGGATAAAGAAGAGACAAGCAGAAACACAAGAACTACAACTGACTTCCAGCCACAGCCTTAGATGAAATCAACTGAAGATAAAATAAGACATTAAATCTCTCAAGATCTCAGAAGAGGAGGATTAAACGACCCCACAAACAGCATTACCAGCTTCACTTTTTACAAACCAGTTTGACTTTATTTCTGTCATACATCTACAAAAGCTCTTATCGAGAATTAACAGAGGTTTAGATGTTGATGTTTTATTTAAAATATTAAATTTATTTGCTTTAGTTTGGCTTTTCACCCTTGACTTTTTAACATTAACATTTAAATATTACTACCATATTTTTTGCAGTAAAGTAGGCTACTTCAACCGCAGCTGCTATAGATTTTTTACCATTAATTTACCTTCAATGCCGTAAAACCTAAAATATTGCTTTTTACAGTGCTGTATACATTTAACAGTATTTTACTGCCTGGAACACACCAAGCCGACGCCGACGAACTAGCGCTGATGAAAGCCGACTGTGTTGTCGCCTCTCGTCGGGGTAAAAAGCTGCACTTGAACCACCCGCGGCGCTACCATTGGGCCCGGGTGGGCCCATTTTCAAGAGGTCCTCGCTGCAGCCTATAGCACGATGACGTAGCTGGATGGTCCAATACGTAGTGGATGGAGGTGTGTTTTGGTGACGTCATAGACGCATGCGCATAGACTATCTACATTGTTAAAAGCGCTATTTCATGCATCAACTGCTATTTCATAGCAGTTATTTCATGCATTATTTCAAGCGCTATTTCATGCATCGAATTTCATGCATCAACTGGTTTTAAAAAAAGGGCAACTATAAATATAATAAATACGAATTTCTCAAGTCAACTTCATTTATAGCGCTTTTAACAATGTAGATAGTTTCAAGCTTTACAGAGATAAACATAATTTAAGGTAAATGAGATTGTTTTGGCTTTATAGAGGTTCTTGAATAATGTTATTTTCCATCTTAAGTTAGTTTTGATTGATTCACTTCTGTCGAAATGATCATTTGTTATTAAATTAGGGGACGACCCCGTTCTCTCTGAACATACTTTAAACGCGAACCTGTGATAAACGCTACGTGTTAGTAGTTCGTTTGCTATACGAAACTAGCAGTAAGCAAGATCAACATTAACATACTGACCATATTCTAATATTTCATCATGTTGAGCTAATGTTATAACAATGATTTGTTTTATGTACATTTGCTCACCTGTCTAATAAAGCTGTCAAGTCGTGACTCGAGAAGCTCTGTCAAGTCCAAGTTAGTCGCGGACGTGGAGCTCTCGGCATCTCAAAAACGCCACGCTGATATTGATCCTCATTTTAGTTCTCCTTGTTTGTCCCAAAGTCTGCTTGCCATGGTCTATGTTTGAAAGAAACAAGAACTGCGTACCGCTAAACGTTACGCACTACGCAGTTGTCCACGTCTGTCGCCATGGTTACATCATGGCAATGGCAGTATGAACGGAAACCGAGGATAGCGCGGATATTGCGTCATTGACAGGCAAAATTTTTTTCCGGGACGGCCACTTATTTAAAATTGGAATTTCTCTGAAATAAAAAATCTTTGGAGACTTTTGGGATATTGTAATTACACAACTGCAGGAAATATATCACACTGTGCAAGTGATTTTTGGATATTTTATTACAAAATTCTTACATATTGTACCTTTAAATGCATTTAAAATGAACAAAAATTTAATAATGTTTTAATTCGAATTTTAACAGTGAGCACAGACTATATTCAGAAACTTTTATGACTGCATTCATTCGATTCTTAATCTTCCTATTAGACTTCTAGTGTATCCTAGGAAAGAAAGAGAATAATTACAAACTTTTTTTCACTAAATTACTTGCACCAAAAGTAACTATGAAGGAAATGCATGCCTATTTCCTGAACTACCTAAAATTTAATAACTAGAGGTGGCATCAGGGTGGTAGAGAGATATTAGTATCTAAAGACCTTTACCGGATTTAAATAATGTCATGCTTAGTCTTAGGGGTAAGTAAGTAATGATCAATAATATTTTGTATGATGCAAGACAGTAACCACACATTTAGGATTGAGGTAATAGTTTAAGAATTAGCCCTTGAAAAAGTCAAATTTTTACCAGGGGTTGCAGACCACCTGGTACTTTGTAAAATGTGAGATAAAATATGAAATATTCTTGAAACTTCAACGTTAACCTCTTCCAATGGAATTATAGTTTAAAAAAAATTCCTGAATTCTCAAGGACAGTCTCTCTAGCACAGTTTCCTGAGAATTTCAGTGTGCATTCATGCACATTTAGACAGGGTGGAATCATTGACTTGTGTGTGAGTTTACACTGACTTTTACCGGGAGAAATGTTTGCAGTGCGAGTACTGAGCAATTGCATTTGCAATGTGTCGATTGTGTGTGAGGTGCCTCTCACTTGGCCGTTTACATACTGCACTACATCTTTGTCTGTGACCCTGTCTGGCCTATTTGTGCATAGACAGACGTGTATGTGTCTGTGTGTGTGTGTGTGTGTGTGTGTGTGTGTGTGTGTGTGTGTGTGTGTGTGTGTGTGTGTGTGTGTGTGTGTGTGTGTGTGTGTGTGTGTGTGTGTGTGTGTGTGTGTGTGTGTGTGTGTGTGTGTGTGTGTGTGTGTGTGTGAAAAGTACAGAAATAGAGTACTTTGATGCTCTTTAAACGCGTGCAGTGAAGACATTTTTTTTGAAAATCCTATGGGACCTGTTCAATGATGCTTTTATACTGAGAATGGAAAAGAATATACACTGAAAGAACTGCGACTCTTGAGTAAACAAAATAAAACAATCTAAGTGATGATCATTTTCTAGTGACACTTATCATTACTGTCTATTCAGTTCCTTTTTTTTAATTTTCAAGTGTGTTTTTCTGCTTGAATGTGTGTGTGTATCTAAATCTTTTCTCGCTGTCTCCTGTCTGTAGACTAAACTGAAAGTGGTTTGGTGCCTCTGTTACTGTGTTATCCTCTGGTATGCTGTTTGTTATAACATTGAGACTAAGAGCTGGCACCAGTGTCCTCCAATGACCAAGACAGAAGACACCTCAAATCTGAAGGCAACTCTGAGAAAACATACTTTGTGTTTGCTGCCTTGAGATTTAAACAATCAGATATTTAAAAAAAAAACATAACCCCAATTTTTAAGGCACAAATTAATCTCTGGAAACGTGACAACTTTCTGGGGAAGTTTGTTAGTTGAGAAGTAATGGCAAGAATGAATTTGAGAGTATCCAATTGGGCTGTTCTCACAGGGGCTGTTACATTTGTAAAGGTTGAGGTTTTTCAACACATCTTAAAAACATGGCATACCCGTCCTGTCTGAAGATTCATCCAACTGTTGATCTAGTAGTCTGGTACTGTAATGACACTACACTTAAACCTCCTATATTATTTTATTTATATGTATTTGATCAAAAATACTGGAAAAACTGCAATTTTGGAAATATTCTTACAATATTTTAAAATGTAATTTATTCCAGTGATGGTAAAGCTGATTTTTCAGCATCATTACTCCAGACTTCAGTGTCACATGATCCTTGAGAAAAATCATTATAATATGCTGATTTGCAGCTCAAGAAACATTTATTATTATTCACAATGTTGAAAACGGTTGTGCTCCTTAATATTTTTGTGTAAAACATGAAAAAAATTTTTTTCAGGATTCTTTGATGAATAGACAAAACAGAATTAGTTTGAAATAGAAATCTTATGTTGTATTATAATTGTCTTTACTGTCAGTTTTGATCAGTGCATCCTTGCTGAATAAAAGCATTCATTTCTCAAAACAAAAATCTTACTGACCCCAAACCTTTGAATGGTAGTATATAATGGTAGTAGTATATGTGTATTTTTATTCATTTATTTTATCGCTCATCTGGAGTGGACATTATATTTGTATATTTTATGTAAGGTCACTGATTGTAATTATGGGTCCTCAACAAGCAGTATTCTACTTCTGAGATTTAAAAAAAGAAAAGAAAGAAAAACTTTTAAGGTGGCTAACCGAGTATCTCTCTGTTTTTCTTTTTGCAGATTGTTAATGTGCTCCTGCATTCAGTCCAGTCAGCACTTGTCCTTCCTGCGTGAATGCGTTTGTCTGTGTGTGCACCTGATGTGATCTGAAAAACGGTGCGATTGCCCACATCCCTCAGCAGTGGACTCTTAACTGCCCTTGCCTCATAACAACATTTACTCTCATTAGCTGTCATTGGTTCAGCCAAAATAAAATTTGTGCCAAAAGACGGACATTACCGCCAGAGATCACTGAAATGGACGTGTCCTTCAACCACTTATGAAGGGCCACTGCCAACAAGGAGCCAATGATATTCCTTTTTTCCTCTTCCACAAACTTTAAATTATTGTAAGAGAGATGTTAAATAGATGAAAAATATATAGCAAACATAATATTACTGAGAATAAATCTATCTATCTATCTATCTATCTATCTATCTATCTATCTATCTATCTATCTATCTATCTATCTATCTATCTATCTATCTATCTATCTATCTATCTATCTAAATACAACGTTTTTTTTTATAAAAGTGCCTCATTTTTGATTGTAGCCATTTTTACACAGGTCTCAGTGTGCTCTGTAAAAGAAAAATGCTTTAGATATTATTTGTTTGTTTGTTTGTTCCTTTGCCTTCCCAATCCTTTGTATTCGCTATGCTGAACAAAGTTGAAAAACAGTTACAGTATAAGAGAGATGGAAGAATAGATGGAAGCGCTTTATTTGCTATGGTTTGTGTATTCAGATTGCCTTACTGTGCTGGATTTGTGTATGTGCGTGTGTAATCAGTCATCCAAGCCTCAGCCATGCTGTGCTTCAGTTCACTACAAAAAGATTTGGACACACACAAAGAGAGGTCAAAACTGATTGCATATAACACTGTGTGATTTAAACTTTAGTGAATGCATCTGCTCCTCAACACACAGATAAACACGGGTTTTCTTCTATTAATCTAAGCATGGTGGGATCAGATGGCTGGGAGCACAAAATCTGATGACTGATAGGGGTCTGATCAGTATAACTGAAACTGCTAGTGTGTGTGTGTCCATGGCCTATTGTCCTTAGTCATATAACCAGGGTAGTGTATTATTGTAATATTTCTCATCCCCAATTTACTACGATCACACACACACTCACATTGAGATTTTAAACTGTGCCTCTCTCAAATGCAGCTCTTTTATCAGCAGACTGAACTGCTATATAAATTGAACACACATACTTGGCCACACAGCAGATATCCATCAAATTTCTCCATCTGATCTGTTGACCATTCTCTGACCGGTTTTACACTCCTGCAACCTACTTTTTACACACACACACACACACACACACACACACACACACACACACACACACACACACACACACACACACACACACACACACACACAAATTGCCCTGTAATAGTGAATGTGCTCCAGTTTCCTCTGCTTTTGATTATTTTGTTCAGTTTACAAGGGAACAGGGTCTTTTCATATCTGGACAGTGGTGCCTGTCTTTATGTAGCATGTTCTTTTTTAAATTATTTTGTCCATATATATGGCACTATAATTAGAAAATAGAAGCCACCCAAATGAATTGTAATATATACAATTCATTTGGGTGGCTTCTATAATTTTCTAATTAATCTAGAATTTGTTTTGTGTAGTGTATGTAATTTGCAAAAACTGTGTACTGTTTTAGTGCCAAATTCCTAACTCACACACTACCATTGATCATGCACTGAGGAAAATAAGCAAACCATGCTTTTTAATATCAGATTTTTAGTAACTAGTATTTTTCTCTTTTGCCTGCTCAATCTGCATATTTTTTATCACTTAGGCCTATTTGCTAATATAAACTCGTATCTTACATAGTACAACAGCTGCCTTCAGTTACCAAGAATCAACATGAAGCCTTATAGTGCTTATATGAATGCCTTTTCTATCATGTATAGATAGATTATGATTAGGTTATGTTTATTATATGCAGGTTCATTTATACGTAAGACGTGACATTCAATGCAGTGTTTAGAGGTGACATTTGCTTACAGTGTTAATCTTCATCATCCACATCAATTATACAGTGGTTGTCAATGATTACAGATAACATGCATATTTCACAACTGAAATGTTCACATACTTCATAATCTGTACTAAGGATTAAAACAGAACAACAACAGGTGGTGATTATAATGTGGGGTGGGCCTAATAATGTCCCCTTAAGAGTTTTAACCTCTGTGTTTGCTTCTAATCCTGGGCAGGACATATGCCTTTTTAAATCCACCTTGTGAGACCATTACAAGAACAAAGAAAGCATCAAATCACGTTTGTGTGTGTGTGTGTGTGTGTGTGTGTGTGTGTGTGTGTGTGTGTGTTTGTCTGTTTCTGTCGGTCCAGTCCAACTGCAAAGTGTGTTTGGCTATCCTGTTTTACTCCATGTCTTTTCTTTCCTATATTTTGATTGCCTTATTGTCTTTATTATGTATTATTTAATACACGGCAGCTGTAAAAGATGCTTTTTATTCTATAGAACAGTGGGAAGTTTGAAGATTCTGCATTCTAGCAGTGGGATTTTTATTTCTTCAGACCGACAATTTTATAGAGTGGTTTGGTGTATAAAATTGTATGTCCCCAGACTTTCTTTCCAGTAAACATCAACATGGTATTAAGTGATGTAGAAATACAGCCAAGGTCATATGTATACTGTAGGTAAGGACTATTTATATAGTCCAGAAAAAAAAGAAACTAAAAAAAGAAAGAAAAGTCATTTTTGTCTATAAGTACCTGCAAGTTATTGGGGGGAAAGGGTCTGATATGCACAATCAGGGGTCTGTGTAAAGTTACAAAGTTTGATCTGTTCTTCTGTATATCTAATGCTATGAAATTCAATGAGAATTGTGTATAAATGGGTTTTAATAAGAGAGTTATTAGGCTGTGGGCTACTGTATAGTTCTGTGAATAAGGGTAAATAGGCTATTGGGCTCGGGTGGGCATGGGAGACTTTATGGTATGGATATAGTAGAAATGTCTGTTAAATTCAGAAATTCCTTAATGATTATTGCCTGTGATTAAGACAATGTCACTCCAATTTATGGAAAAATGAAAAAAGAATAGAAGAGAACTGAAATAAGTGTCCCGTGTATTTATTTATTTTTTATTATCAGATTGTCGTCCATATTGGGAAGGTGTGTGTGTGTGTGTGTGTGTGTGTGTGTGTGTGTGTGTGTGTGTGTGTGTGTGTGTGTGTGTGTGTGTGTGTGTGTGTGTGTGGTTGTGTGAGCGAGCGAGCGCGCGTGCATGTGCTTGTGTGACTGAAGTCTAGACATAAACCCGCCTCTGAAATGACTTTCAACGATAAACCACCTGCATGCTGCATGATCATAATAGGCATGAGTGTGAACGTGAGCGCGCGTGTGTCGACGTACAGCCTGGTCTTCATTTCAGAGACTCTGAGGCGGCCATTAAAAAACAACAACAACAAAAAACATCACATCCCTCGCACGGATAGACAGGAACATTCACACGCGTCTGTGTGCCAAAGTTAGGCCTCTGCGGACACCGTGTGGTTAGTATGTGGTAAAACATCAACAACATAACTACTGTTTTCAAAAGTATCCAGCCTCAGTGCTATAGGCCTTACGTATGTGGTGAACGTCATTTAACCAAGTACCACATGTTCCTGGATCAACATCTTTGTTGATCCTGGATCAACTTTCCAATCAACCAATCAGATTTGAGGGACAAGTTTACAGTTTATGTCAAGTTTAGGCTTAGAACCGTGAAGTACTTAAACATCAGTGTTATTCACCTTTCATTACCCTCTGATTTAGGGAAAAGTTATGGGTAGGGTTAGGTTTAGGGGTAGAGATTGGGTAGGACTACATTTTGGGACAGGAATGTTGATCCAGGACCATGTCTTACTTGGCAAAATCACGGTGACCAGGCCTATGTGACAGTCTCAGAGGTGTAATATTCAGTGTTGGGATTTACGCATTAAGTAACGAGAGTTAAAATCAAATTGTTTAAATCTACTTTTTAAGTAACTAGTAAAGTAACGCATTTTAAATTTACAACAAAATATCTGAGTTACTTTTTCAAATTTTTCAAATAATATTTACTTATAATTTATGTTTTCTCATTTATTAACTGACTCCTCTTCTGCCCCCATGACGAAAGAAATCGTGCATGCATTTAATCATCTCACTTGCAACAACAACAACACAAAATCCTCAAAAAGAGTAAAAACAGTGAAACGGACACATTAATATGCAAGAATATTGGAATATTATGCAAACATGCAATAATTACATGTTAAATAATACAATTATATGTTATGTATTTAAACTCACTTTATTAATCAGTGTATGCTGGTGACCTTTGATGATTCAATACTAATAAGCAAAATTATTTTAGATAAACATCACATTTGTGTTTCTTTTTCTTTTGCTGATGTAAGAGTGTTGAACTTTCTTCTCCTATTCTGCAAAACAGAATGGCAGCACAGTTGAAAGGTTTGTTTGATTTGCATTTGCTTTTCCTTCAGCCAGAGGCGTATTCATTTCCCTTTTGGTGTGAAAGGGCCTTTACATTTGCTACATTTGCCAAAATAGGTTTTCTTTTCTTTCTTTATTTTTTTGTTATTAGGCTATCAAACAAACAAACAAGCCCAGCTATGTAACGTAACACATTACTTTCCTTAAAAGTAACTAAGTAATGCAATTAGTTACTTTTTAGGGAGTAATGCAATGTTGTAACACATTTCTTTTAAAAGTAACTTTCCCCTACATATTTGCAATATTTGCTTGTATGTTATGGATATATCATGCAGAAGCAGAAATGTCTTTAATGTGACTACAAGAGATTGCAGGAGACGGGTATAATAACTGTTAAATGTGTGAAAATAACAGTTGAACAACAGTTTATTCTTTGAATTTGATTGGCTGAGCAATGTTCTATCAGAAATGGGCCTTTTAATTTGTTGTAGGTTTTCGTTTGTCCGTGTTCACAGACCAGTGCAGGGGAAGCAGTGGCTGATCTGTTAAAATTTATTTTTCAACAGAATTGGTAAATGTTTATAATACCATGTAGCCTATCTATAATATAGCCTACTTATGCCGTGTAGACAGATGCCTACAAATGTGCGTTCTAGTTTAGTTTTGAAATGGTAATGTGATGTAAGTTTAAAAGTTACTTTTACTTTGAAATTCTGCCATTTTCAAACACAGATGTTTTCAGCGTTTATGGTACTGAAATAATCTCACTCTTTAAGATTTCTAGCAATATTCAGCAAGAAAAACAAGGTAAGACAAATTTAATTACATTTGCCGACTATGAATGCAAATAAGTTGACAACCAGCGAGAATAGTTTTTAAAATCAAGTGTAAATCAAGTGGTCCTGTCCCACGCGCACACGCTGGACATTGTAAGTCCACAAGACCGTAAGTGTATGGGTGAGTTTGAATTAATGCAGCACTACTCAAGCCGATTGGTGCCTTAAAAAATGCAATGGATTCTGGTTAGAAAGTTTGTCCGACTTTGCTTGGGCCTGTCCCAAATGGCACCATAAACACTCGGAGTCTTCCTACTAGTCCGCACTTTTGTGACGTAATGCAGCTTTGACTGTTGGGAAAATGTCTGCCGCTTCAGTGCGGGCAGCGCATCGAGCATATTGACCGCAAAGGGGGTGCTCGCAAGCACCTAAAATGACAAATGGGACACCCTACAGTCTCGTGTACTTAACGGACACCCGCACACAGCAGCAATTGTAAGTCCACAAGACCGAAAGTGCATATAAGGTGTGCCATTTGGGACAGGACCATTGGCACCAAAGCCGTGTCACAGCTCTGCAGTTGCCCCAGATCGGCTGCACAAGCTTTGATGACGACACACCTTATTCCTTATTGGCCAGACTCTGAAGACAACAATTATGTGTGGTTCATGTTTATTC